TAAATTCGTTTTTTGTATTATTTCTGTTAAACAATGGGCAGTCATAACAATAGTGCAGCACAAGTATACAGCTAAAGTGTTGGGGAAATACACTTGAAAGAGCTTGGGTCAGGACATGTTGAGGCTAGCTTAGCATATAGACGGTAGCTGGCGGAAACAGCTAGCCTGATTCTGTCCGGAAAAAGAAAATTCACAAAAAAAGGTTCCCTAAAGCATCAAATGCTTTTGATTAAACCAAAAGGATAAAATATGTTCGTTTTTTTTTACTTTGGACAGGGCCAGGCTAGCTGTTTATCTTTGTTTCAACTCATCATTCTAAGTGCTAACTTCGCTTGGCTACACATGATATGACTTGTCTTAGCAGAAAATAAACACAGTAGAGAGGGATAACAATGGTTATGGCTTCATTCTAGTAGTTATTGCAATGAAATCCAACAATTAATACAGTTACAAGTGGGTTTTAGCTCTAAGTCTTTTTAACTTTAATTTAACGCTGCATTTCTCACGTTTGTCCTTTAGTTTAATGTCATTGGAAATTGGAGAAAATATTACAATGAAAAAAGAAACCCAGACTGCATTTTTTTCTTTAGTCCTTCTCCTTAGTGTCTTGGGTCGTTTCAGTTTATCTTTTATTTATTTAGGGGTGCTATGTCATATGGAATTATCATAAAAACAAATGTTGGAGAGCATGTGAAGTCAATGTTTTTAGTTGATTAAAAGTCTGGGCATGTTTTTTCTCATCTAGTCAAAAAAAAAGATTTTGGTAAGTTTTTTTCATCTTTGAAACTACATTTTAGATTTTTTTATTTTCTGATAGCATGTTGATATCGTAACAGTTATTAAGTCAACTATAATTGCTGTTATTACAATACTTGAGACATCATTTTTACCAAACAACTACTGGGATTCACTTTATCATATCCTTTTAAAGGAAAAGGCTCTGTTCCAACAAAGGACATTTATAAAACCAACGGATCATCTTGAGAAAAACAGAGATAAGGGGAGTCAGGCCAGTAATTCAGAATCAGACCTGGTCTAAAAACAGCTATCGTGTGTGTGTGTGTGTGTGTGTGAGTGTGTGTGTGTGTGTGTGTGTGTGTGTGTGTGTGTGTGTGTGTGTGTGTGTGTGTGTGTGTGTGTGTGTGTGTGTGTGTGTGTGTGTGTGTGTGTGTGTGTGTGTGTGTGTGTGTGTGTGTGTGTGTGTGTGTGTGTGTGTGTGTGTGTGCGCGCTGGTGAAATCAACACACAACACTCTTTTTTAGTCTCCTATCATGACTTCAAACCATTTCTGGGAGAATCACTTGGCTTCACATTGAGGTACAGTGGGGAAGAAACACACTGCGGATAATGAGCCCTGAATATCATTATCAGAACACACTATGGGCTGCATGCTCCACACTGTTTATTATGCTTATTAAAACTGCATTCATCTATCTCTCTGTCATCGACTTTCAAAAATGTTCTTGGAAGAGCAAGACAGCTCACTGTTTAGAGTTCATTCAGACAAGATGATTTTAGTGAAAGAAAATATGGCAGACAATCAACTTCAGTTTTCTTTTCCTTTTTTTCAATGTGCTGGAACTTTTGTTATAAATAAATGAAATCTAGGAACATAACCTTGGACAGTATTGTGTAGTAAACTCTGTATGTCCTCGTAAGGATACAAAAAACTACATTTAATTAGTTTATTATAATAGGGAGTTCTGCCATGGGAATTAGCCACAGCTAGTCCAGACATGGATGTATAGGAGAACAGGAAGCGTCAAACTACACAAACGTATTTAGGGGAAATAAATTACATTAGATGATGTGACCTTCGAAAACAGTATGGGTGGATGTAACGGACAAGAAAGAAACCAATACTGTATTAACTATTTTACACACTTCTGAACTAGTAAAAATGTGAGCTGTAGTTACTTAAAAAATTGCTAAATGTTCCACCTCTAAAATATATTTATACTGTGAACCCCAGAAAAACCGTTACACTTACTCACATGCTAACAGTTAGAAAAAGGTGATATGAAGACTTCAGCTCTCTATGGCAAAATCTTTTTGCTTCTTCCCTAATGGCATCTCTCCAAAACAAAATGCATGTGTCTTTACATGTGTGTATTCAGACCTAATGTGTGTAGGTTCTGTTCATGTGTGTATATATACTGTGTATATTAAGCATGAAGCATTTGTATGACCCCTAAATGTTTACTTTAGATTATAGATCACCATGTGAAATGCCTCAGGGTGGTTATTAGAATGAGGTACAACTTACACTATAGCATTTTATGCTACATCTTCCCAGTTACTGTCCCCAAAAAACTGCACAAGACGAAACAGACTGAGGCTTCACACAGGCCAAACACTTTCACTTTAACTTAAGTGGTTAGTTTGAGTGGAGAAAGTGGGCAGGATAACTTTGCACTTTTGCACCGCTGTGCCAGAAAACATTAATCAATCCTCAACTAATTAAATTAATCCATGTCCAGCTATACAGCCAGTGCTACATAGGGCATCCCTTCTGCCAAAGCCTTCCTCTTTAGAGCCAGTGATTGTTGTACCGAGCTGTAGCAAGGGAGTGAGGCTGCTATGTACAGCACACCAAAGCACTCTTGGACAGCCATGGCGTTCAAGCCCAGCCAAGTATCATCAAAGTGTCGGTTTGGCAGCTGCCCTGAGGGAAGGCCGCCAAGGCCAAGTAAGGTTCTAAACCTGACACAACTACACAAGCAGAGGAAGGTGTTAAAGGCATGTCCGCTGGGAGCGCTTCTCCAGCAGTATCATATCGGACGATTCCGCTTAACTCTCGTTTAACCAGGCCACAGGACAGAGGACATATTTTCCAAGATGATGAAGCAGGCCAACACACCAAAAAACGTAGGCGTGACAAAACCCAAAGAAACAGGACAGATAGTGTTCATTTAACATGTGTCCTCCATCAGAACATCTTCCTGGTAACTGTATGTGCTACCATGAAACAGGTTACATAAGCTGGGGTTTGCTTTGGTGCTGGGGTCTGGTTTTAATGCATACAACCAGCAGGCACAGCAATATTTGTTGTTGTCGTAAACAACAGCACAATACACAGTATATGTTTTTACAGTTCTTTTTTTTTAACATATGACACAAACGAGATGTTACGTTTGGATTGTGGTTATTTTACCAAACTTTTTACTGATTTAGACAAGCGGTTTCTCCCCGTTTCCAGTCATTTTACTAAGCCAAGCTAACATAGAATGGTATCAATCTTCTGATCTAACTCTCTGCAAGAAAGCGAACAATCGTGTGTTTGATAATAAACTTCCAATTTATTCAAAAGTTCCGGAAATGGTCCAACCTTATTACTACTGTACATTTAAGTGTTCATTGCATTACCCTAGCACAGTGTTTCTCAAAGTGTGGTCCAGCGAGCGCCCCACTGGTGGTCCGTGAGCGCCCCCTAGTGGTCCGTGAGTATATTGGTAACATTTCACATTTGAAATAAATGTAAATTGTCCGCACTCTCGCGGGAATATCTCCGCAATGGAGCGAGCTTAACTTTCGATTGCATGATATAGCCCAGTGCAACACCTTCGTCACACATGTTGCCACTTGTTTGTACCATTTCCAGGCGATTTGTAATCTGTTCTAGAAAAACTGTGTTTTTAATTTTATTTCAAGAAGCATATAAAACAAACAATGGATGTATTTTAAGAACATTTATCCATGCTGAAAGTAGATTTAGATGTTTTAGGAGTTATATAGAGATTATATATCTAATATATGCATCCAATGAAGCTTCATTGTATGAAGTCTGTTGATGATCAGAGGCTGTTGTTGGGGCTGCATAAACGTTTTTTATTTGTTTGTGTAGGCAGACCATGCAGGCCAGCCCGATGGTCACCAAGGTTCATGTTTTAATAGCATTTTTACAAAAAAAGCCCAACATGTGAAAATATGGCTTAGACCTCAGAGAGTTAAACTTGGGCCTGCGACCATAGTTTTACTGTATTTTGTTTTGAAAATCCACAGCGGAGGTTTGTGTCGTACTACATGCGGTGTATTTTGCATTTTGTTATAAACTGTTGGAGTGATAAGCAGGCTGTTTCTGGATATTTGGGGAGTTAGGTGGTCTGCGAGTGTTTTTTTATTGGTTAAGTGGTCCTTGGTGAAAAGGTTTATGAAACACTGCCCTAGCAGGCAAACTTGATTTCACAAATCTTTCAAAGCTTTGAGAACCAGAAATTAATTTCCATTCAATTATTTTCTCTAATAGTTGAGGCATTAAAGAACTCGACCACTGTATATTTTGAGTAAGGTAACACTTTTAGCAACAAAGCTAACCGTCCAAGATTGTGAGTATGACTGTAATGGATGAATGAAAAAAGAAATCAGGATTCTCAGCAAATTTGATTATTTCTTCTCGAGGGCAACGGTATGGGATAGTCTTCAGATCCATTAAAACAAGCTGCTTGCAGAAATCCTAGACTGTATAAAACGGCTGAAATTCAAGCTACAGCTTACCCCAAAAGAAATGCTAGTTGAATGTGTTTGTCTATATCTGAGGTCCAGATTGTTTCCCTGCATCTAATGCATACTCGGAATGACTTTAGTCTAGGGAATGGATTTATTTGGAAGTGATTAAAGTATCTAATTACATGGCTTAGTTGAATACTCAATTCTGATTGGTCAATTTGAACATGTCAGAGGTTGTTCATTTTTCGCTGACAGACCGCTGCTAAGGAGAACAGACAATTGCTCAGGAGAATCAAGGGTCTATATGGGTCATATCTATCTGCAGAACAAGTCTTGTCCTTTATTTATTAAAGGGATTATGTTTTAAACTGTTAAGGCTTTTGCTACCTACTACTGCCTCTTCTTATTCATCTTGTTCGGCTTGTGAAAATAATAGACACATGGACGGACAGAGAGACTGATACACACATACACACTGTCTGGACACATTAAAAAGGATTGTCTTAAAGGTTGCAGGCAGAGTTATGTAGTCCAGAAACTGAAAAGAAACTCACCACTTTGTCCTCCTGCAGCCCAGTCAGCCATCCATGTGAAATGAAAAGAAAGACAGAGAGAAGGTGAGCAAAGATGATATCTGAAAGCATGGCAATGATACTACAGCCCTACAGTGAACAATGTAATAAGCAGAATCAGAAAACTAAATGTATCCTGGGTGAAATGGGTTTTATGCTCTATTAGAGTAAGAATTTACAACAAAAACATAAAATTAAATAAATATATTTATATAGACACAAGAAATTAAAGTAAAATGTCCAATAAAAGATAAAATATTAATGTAAATATAAGAAGCTAAAGTGAAAAACTTTTTTTTTTAAATACATAGATACTGTATCTCAGTTTCAATAATTTTATTAATAAACCATTTTAATTTTAAATAATAATAAAAAACTACCACTAAGATCATTAATTGATGACTGCCGCTCAAAAACGGAATTTCCTTGTTCTCTTTTGTATTGCAAACTCGTTGCCTTTGAACCAGGAGAAAATGGCATGCCAAAATATGAAGGATGGGGATGTTATGGAAAAGGATACACTCTAATGTTTTGGCTGACGAACCCTTAGAACCTGATCTGCGAGAGCAAACCCCGACAGGTGGTGCCACTGCTCAGATTGTGCTCCAGTGCCAACAGAAACTAAATCATTCTGCTGCAACGAATGTCAGTGTGAGCATTTTGTTTTAGGTTAGATGCTGTTTCTGACAGAAAGCTGGTGTACATTCCTATGTATTACATTTTTACTCGGCAGTCGAACAAAGGTGTGCTGGAGACTCTCTTCAGGATCCTGATAATAAACTAGAACCAGCGGGGCTAATCTTACTAATCAACACCACTTTGTGATTCCTGAAGCTTAAATGGAATCGGCAGAAGTACAAAGCAAACGTAATGCTAAGAACAAACTACATCACGGTCACATGACTTCACGTCATCACCGCTAAGCTAAAGGCTTACTTGTTTCGGCATGATGGCGTTAAGTCGTTTATTTAGAAACTTCTTAGCAACCATCGTTTTTATGACACATAGAACATGTGGACATTCACCAGTGGAGTGTTTATCCTGACGTATTTTATGTCGTAGGACAACACGGGAAAATCTCTTAAGCTTGTGTTAATCATAGATCTTATCACCACGTTAAAAAAACATTGACTCCGAGACGCAGGAACCGGATGTGGTAAAATGCTAAGTGCTTTTTAGCTTTTAAGACTCATTACTTTACCACTCTATGTGGTATAAAATAAAACGTTGTTGTCGTGTTAATTTCGAGCTGTAAAGGATTACAGTGCCTGCATAAGTATAGGTGCACATCAACTACACTATGTGTTGACTCGGCATCAGTAGCTCACACGCAATGCATCCTGCTAAATGTATTCACTGTGAGCAGGAGAACTCTAAATCTCACTAATTAAAATGTTGTTTCTTTTAAGTATAATGAACACAAAGAAATGTAAAAATGACAAGCATGAGAAGTTAGAGTGAAGAACAGAGAGTAAAGCTGTGTGTGTGTGTGTGTGTGTGTGTGTGTGTGTGTGTGTGTGTGTGTGTGTGTGTGTGTGTGTGTGTGTGTGTGTGTGTGTGTGTGTGTGTGTGTGTGTGTGTGTGTGTGTGTGTGTGTGTGTGTGTGTGTGTGTGTGTGTGTGTGTGTGTGTGTGTGTGTCATTAAATGCCAAACTGGCGATGTAGGGGTGGGGAATGGGTGGAATAGGGGGACGTCACTTATTTCAGAGGAAGACTTGTCTTCCGATGCCAACACACACACCTCCCCCTTGCTGTGTGTGTATAGGGCACCTCCGGACCCCTGGGAGAAAGAGGCAGAGTGGGAGATCACCCCCTCCGTCCACAACTCAGTGTAATGCCCAATTAACCTTTACCAGCTCCTGCCTGGGTCACACACACATGTACACGCATTCACACACAAGGGTGGAGGCACACATAGATACACAGTAACACACACAGTGTTGACACAGTACATATCAACACACATGCAGAGCAAACTATACACTTGCTTTTTCACACATAAGGGCACACTTAGAGTATGTGTCAAGGCTCATCACCTCCACCTGAGTTCCTACACCTGAGACCATCGTATAGCGGAATCAGACACAGTTGCATGTGTGACAAGTTTATTAACAAGGTTTGAGAGTAAGGGATTACATGTAACTGGATTAGGTGATCAGGATACAAAAATAAAGTTACTGTATTCCCTTGGATGGAGATCACTAGCAGTATTACAACGTGTCTTTTAGTTTAAAGAGGCCCTATTATGCTTCTTGGGGTTCTCCTTTTCCTTTGGTGTGTTGTATAGGTTTTAGTGCATGTAAATGGTCTACAGAGGCTAAAATCCATGTGTGCCCAACCAGTCGATCGCGATCGGATTCCCAGTCGATCGCGAGATGTGTCTAAAAATAGAACAACAATATTCTGTTTTATCGTTAATGTCCTATAACATGATCTTCCTGTGCCAGAATAATGCACTTGAACGCATCAAAGCTTTGTGATTGGCCGGCGTGACCCCATGTGTCGGGGCGTGGCTGGTGGGCAGTGGGCACTATTTCGCTGACGTTGTCCGTGTCAACCTTTATATATACAGTCTATGGTGTCAACACAGGAGTGACAGTCCGCACACACACAAGACCGCAATTATGGCAGAAGCAAAAAAGCCCAAAATATATAATTTTCACTCCGAGTGGGAGGATGATTATTTTTGTATCTATTCCAATTCAAAGTCCATCTGTCTCATCTGCAATGTGAGCGTGGCTTTATCGAAGAAGGGTAATTTAGGAGCGGCATTTCAAAACAGTGCACAAACGCTACGAGACGGGATTCCCTCCTAATTCTGTCCTACGCTCCCAAAAGGTGAGGGACCTGAAAGGACAGCTAAATGCACAGCAGTCCATTTTCACCAGGCCCAACAACAAGAGCAAGGCTGCTACCATAGCATCTTATCGTGTCAGTCACGTTCTTGCGAAACACATGAAGTCTTTCAAAGACGGCGAAGTTGTGAAAGAAGCATTCCTGGAGGCTGCCGACGCGCTTTTTGGGGACAGTAAAAATAACAGTAGCATTTCAACAGGTTTTTGATATAATAAAAACTCAAGTTAGATACCGTTATTAATCAGCTGTAAGTTTTAGTTTGTTTGAACTTATTCATTATAATTATTGTACAAAATGGTATAAGAATGCAAACTTAAATTGATTATAGTCTATTATCAATTCAGGTTAAGAAACTAGTGTTGCTTGCATCCTATTTTAAAGGCATTTCTTTTTATACTCTACTAAAATGCAACAAAAAAAGGGTTTGATTCTATTGTTGTCTTTTTTATTGCACTTTGGCAGCAGATTCCTGTGTAGCTTCAGATCTGAGTTGTCTTATTAGTAAGCCTAATTTATACTTTTGTAGCAACATAATATAATGGCAAAGAAAGGGTTCAGAGTCTTTTCTTTTTTTCCCGTGTCATATGTGGCAGCACTGTTCAATGTTTCTTGAAAACATTACCCACTGTAGTTTGTGACGTGTGAATATTCTCCAACTCTGTATCAACAACACTGTTGTGTAACTTCAGTTAAATACTTGTATGTGTGTAGATTAGAAAGAGGTAAGATAAAGGATCTGCAGTATTTTATGAAGTATTAATCGTACAAAGGTCAGTTTTATACAAGTAGAAGTGTGTATTTACCTGGTAGTAGGCTGTCAGTAAGGGCTACGCCTCTCTATTTGGACTGGTAGATCTCGGCAGACTGGCAACTTTAAAAGTAGCTCTCGGTTCAAAAAAGGTTGGGCACCCCTGCTCCAGAGGGAGTTTCTCTCCCACACACTCCCCCCTGCCTGAAACGCCTCCATTGGATGTTTAATTATTTAACATAATGACATCACTATGTTACACTCGCGCTTCTCTTGGCTATAAAATAGGCACAAAAATAAGAGGAAATCTCAGTCCCCCAAATTCGACAAAAATTGATTATATGATATCATTTGATAAAGCTATGATCATTTATGATTTCACAGGAAAAAGCCATTACGCTGACACACTGTGCTCCAACGTCACCCCACCTCCGGCCTCTCTTACCGTGTTGGACCGCAGCGACACTCGCCCCCCGCAGCGGGCGCAGAACTTGGTCTGGCAGTACGAGCACAGGTTCCCGCAGCCGTCTGCAAACTTGGTCTTGTGGCAGATGCCGCAGGTTGGGGCGTCGTCCCGGTGAACGGTCGAGCCCGCCGCCACCGTGGCCTGCCGGATCACCGTCTCCCTGTAGCTGGACAACTGCTGCTGGATACCTCTAGAAGACAGAACAAGTAGAAGGAAACACATTAGTATTAAGCCAATGAGCAAATACACAAACATGACTCATAGAAACCCTAACCCTAACCCTACTTTGTACAATCAGTTGATCCATAAGCATTAAACAGACAATGCACATTAGATACAATTACATTAGAGTAGATTAGATAAATTACTCTTTTTTTTTTTTATTACGATTCAACGTTATTGTCAATGCACACAGAGTACAAGTGCTGAGAGAACGAAATGCAGCTAGCAATACTGTTAGCCCGTTTGCTAACACTACCACTTTTCGTGTCAACACTTGCGATTAGGACGGTGGCCAGTCTTTACGAGTTGACGTTTTTTTGTTGGTTGAGAAACATCGACTCATCACATGGCCATAGTATGAGCGTACTTCAAACATGGTGTGACCATGTAAAGCTTTACTTTAGCATCGCCATGATTTGAGCCAGATGCTACATGCTAGCATGCTCACAATAACATACTGATAATTGACGTTGACCATGTTCACATCTTTATTTAGGTGTTAGAATGCTACTAATAGTGATGTGACGTTCGCGAACGATCCGATTCTTTTGAACTTCTTTCTTTTTATCGTTGGTTCACTGCCTGCCATAAATCCACTCGCCTTTAAAGGAACTTGCTTTCCTGAATGCAAATTTGCCGTAGATGATGGCATAACGCATGCTGCTTGAGTAGTAGTTTGGCTGGCTGAGAGATGTAGCAAGTTATACATTTTTTCTGTGAGTAAAAGTAGATTTCTGGCAATACAGTCAATCATTATCCTGGTGATTATTTCGCAGATAAACCTATTAACCCCGCCCCTTTAAAACTGCTCTTTTGAACGGCTCTCGGAAAGGAATGGAGCCATAAGATCCGGCTCCCTTCAAAGAGCCGTGATTCCCATCACTAGCTACTACTATAATAAGCATCAAGAGTGAAATTAAGCTGAGGCTGAGGGGAATTTCTTTAATTTTGCTGGTGTTTAGTTGTAAGCCAAACTATGGCTGAGCGATTAATTAAATTGTATTAATATTTAAAATGTTGGCCTCTGTCTTTTATACAGAAAAATGGAGATACAATTATTATTTACTTGCATTTAGTTACAGCATTATGCTCTTGTTATGTCTTGTGTTATAAATCAAACAGAATATTGCATTTAGTAGTTTACAGTATGCAGTCGCGGTACAATATGACATAACATTTTTTTTTTTTTTATGTATTTTATATTTAAATATATGTGTGTAGATATATATAGAGATATTTTATTGATTTGTTTTATTTATGTATTGACAAAATAGCATGTCAAGTTAAAAACAGACAGTAAAAAACAATAAAACAGGTTTTAAAATGTATGATGTTTCTAAAGTCAATGAGCACTCGTGTTAAATGACCGTGATCTAAATATTGCCAATGAATCATTTTGATTATGATTTTCTCGACACAATAAAGCAGCCCTAAACAGTGAAAATGGAAAAATATATATATTATTGAAAGTTAGGGAACATCTAAAGTCCAGATAATCAAGATAGTCATTACGGTTCATCCTCTGGGGACCTGTAATTCTGTACCACATTTAATCGCAATTCATCTACAGCAAGTAGCAGTCATTTTAGTCCTAACCAAAAATATCAAAATCATAGTCAGTGGATCACAAAAGTTATGCCGATTACAAGTGTATAAAAAAGTCATGGCAATCCACCCAATAGACATTTTGTTGGACCGAAAGGTGTGGACAAACCAATTGACAAACTAAAATAAAAAACAAATGTGTTTAGAAATACAACTGTTCATCTCCTGTAAAGAAATGGATTGAGATCATGACTCCAAACGACTCTTTTGATCCAATAGTAAAAGCATTCCATAGGAATTCAATACACTTTGAATCCCACAAGTTAAAAGATGATCACATGCGAGAAAGACTAGAAAGGAATGTTGATTGTAAATAATAAATAAATGAGAGGGAAGCGTAACCAGAGAGCGAAGGAGACAATTGTTGCACTAAGGCCAGTCGATCAAATGTTCTCTGTGCTATTTGTGTGTGTTTTGTTGTTTGTGTCCGCTATTGTTTCAGGCCGCTTTGCAGAACTCTTCAAATCAATAAGAGAAAGAGAGGGGGAAGAGTATTGGTTTTATCTGAGTCGCTACAGTATGTTGATTTATTGGATTTCACACTGTTGAGATTGAGGAGAGAGCAAATAGAGGGGAAACAGACCAAAGAGACAATACTGAGTAAAGAAAGAGGAGAGGAGTGAGGGAAAAGTGATGAGAAAGGAAGAAAAACATGGAGAGGTGTGGAGAATGATCCGGATATGGAGCAGAGATGTGGTGAGAAGAGGAAAAGTAGAGACAAATAGACAAAATAGGGAAGGAATCAAGGAGAGGAGGGAATAAGAACAGAGTAGTAAAGGAGAAAAGGAAACAATTGGTGTGAGAACAAAATTTAAAAAAAAAATAAACCCACTTTACAAGCTTTAAAAATTTTCTTACAACACTGCCCAGCATTACAGGACTAAGGAGAGAGGAACCAATGGAGGGTGGAGTAAAGGAAAGAAGAGGTAGATAGGGTAAAAGGAGAAGAAATAATAAAGTATGAGATGTTTACAAGAGAAAGTGATCCCCTTTAAATATGAAAAAAGTGATGAAATAAAACATGAGTCAGTTTAGATGCCGAATATAACTGCCAACAGCCATTTGACAATCAATCTAAAATGAACAAAGTTAATAAAATCAAGTAATAAAATAAAAAATACTCTTGACCTTAACTACTTAATACTACAGAGTATTGACGAAAACATACTGGACTACGAGTTCAAAAATGTCACTCTCACATTAAACCTCTGCCCGGTCCGTCAACCTGCCCTGAACAATAAAGCTGTTTACCCTGACGTGATATTAAAAGCCTTTCATATCATCTGCTGCGGCTGCACACGGTACTCACAGACAGGGAGTCAGCGGCGCAGCTTCCTCCCCCATCAGCCCAGCCGTTAAAAACTACAAATCCCATCAGTAGAGGCACAAGAAAAGGAAGTCCAACATCCAGTCGTTTGATGGACAACCCGACATTGCTCCTGTGTGTGTAACGAGACAAACTGTTCATCTAAATACAGCCTGAAGAAGAGCCTTTAAAGACTCAGAGGACCCGGCGGGTGAAACACTACTCGCCCAGGAAATGTTAACACCTGCCCACAAACACACACACAACACACACACACACACACGCGCGCACACACACACACACACACTATTTTATCCACAGTTTTATTTTGTAATCACACGAACAATCATGCTAACCCACCGCTGATATGTTAAGTGCACACACACAGACTTCTGGGTGAGCAGTAGCCAAAGGTCACGGTGAGGTCACCTGCTGCTGCAGCACCACAGGGGTCACTTCCTGATCCTGGCTCTCACTGTGTGTGTCCCAACCCGTATCAGTGAGTAACACTGATGACTGGAGCTAGTGTCATTGACTAAATGTTTATTGATCAATACTACATTGGCTGTTTATCGGAGCTTTTAAACTGAGTTGAATCTGGTTATTTTGGTCATATTCCACATGAATATTATAGGTAAGGTTTTGATTCTGGGAAAATGTTAACAAACCCATTACTTGCAAAACCTGGATGTACAACACCAACATGGAAAAGAGAGTAGATGCCTTTGAAATGCAATGCTGCAGCAGCAAGATCCTTGGGGTGCCATGGGAAATGCACCCTACAAACAACTCTGTGAAACAGGAGATACAGACACTGGCGGGGTTTTCTCGAACTGCTGACGGAAACGGCTAGACGGCCAAAGTGACAGTGCTTTGGACACATTATAAAAACAAACGGGATGCTAGCAAACACGTCATTTCACGGTTCAGTGGAGGGAAGAAGAGGTGCAGGAAGGCCAAGGGGAGAATGGCTGATGGACATAAAGAGGTGGACGGGAAAAATAAATGTTCTGTCGAATTGCAAGCTACAAGCTTAGATTAAAAAGCACACATCTTTTATTTAAAATGAAATGAGTGGAATTAAGAGGGAGGAATGGACACTTTGTGATATTGGGCTGTATAAATGATAGTAGCTGATTGGTTGAACATGGGCACTGCTAAGAAATTGTGTATAATATTGAATTTATTAGCTAAGAGCGTCAAACAATACATTGGTTTCTGTTTCTAAGTTCCAACTTGAGGGAGTGATCAAAGGAATTCTTCCATTCCGTAACACATTTTCACCGATTATTCCGACATCACATTAAAGCAGTACACATGCTATATCTTGCAAGCTAACGAAAGTAGACATTATTTGTATAAAGGGTTCTTCCTTGGCCCATGCTACACCTGTCAACAAAGTTTCATAAAAACTGGCCAAGTTGGTTTTCCATAATCCTCCTGCGGAAGACGATTTGGAAAACAGACTAACTGGGCCAAAGACATAACATCCCCCTAAGAGAAGGTTATTCTTTCATCACATGCTAAACAGTATGGAGTCTAAAAGTCCTCACTAAAGTATATGGTTGCCTATTAATGATCATTTACATGCTTAACTGTTATCATATACAGGGAATAAATCAAGTACATCTCTGCTAATTAGTAAACCACAACAAGCCATCAAATGAAATTTTGCAGGTACGAAAAAAAAGATCTTTATCACATCAAATGCCGGGAAGAGGGGTTTGGCAGATCATTATGAGATGGAGACAGGGAGGAGGTTAAAGCGAAGGGAGGAGAAGGAGAGGCATAAAGACCGGGAGAGAAATCAGAGAGAAATGAAACAGAGAAGGAGCTCATTAAGAAAAAGCTGGGAAATATCCATATTCAAATGTAGTAAGAAACAAGGTTAAAGCAAAGTGAGCACACAAGCTTCACTAAAGTTTTCATCAAAACAGAAGATGCAGTTAGATAGATAAAAATAGACCCTTTGTGTGTCTATGTGGATGAATACATCACATTGTAAACAAATGGCCCACATGCAAAAACATCATTTACATAAAATGTTTTTGAACTAA